TGAGTAGGAAGGAATCAGGGAGGATCTTGTTGTAGCGGGTAAGCTGGGATATCTTACTCAGGAATGACGCTAGCCAGGTAGTTACGCGTGCATCTTTTTCACGAAAGGATATTTTCTTCAGACGAATAGTATAATCTACTGTGTCAAAAACTTTGCTGCAATAAACAAATACGCTAGTTGCTGCAAGACTAGCATCGACATGCGTATGGACTTGGTGGAGGAGGTCAACTAGGTAACCTGTTGTCGAGATGCCTCTACGGTTTCCATATTGAGATCCATGCAGCTTGGAGATCGTTTCCCTCATCCGTTGAAGGATAATCTTACTCAGGATCTTACTCGGAGTACAGGTGAGTGAAATGGGGCGAAGATCGTTCAAGGACGATGAAGGGCTTTTCTTTCGGATCGTGGTAACGATAGCCTCTTTCCATGGAGAGAAGCGCTGGAAATGTCACATAAGGCTGTTGAGAATTTAACAGCGAAATTCTTGTAGATCCAGGTTGGAATATTATCAGGGCCTGGGGCAGAGGACTTCTTGGTTTTCCTTAACTCGTGGTACACCTCAGGCACAGAGATAAATTGGGGGGGGGGGGGGGGGGGGGGGGGGGGGGGGGGGNGGGGGGGGGGGGGGGGGGGGGGGGGGGGGGGGGGGAAGGCGCGGAGCTAAGATGCGATAAGGGAAGGAAGTGCACTGCAGGGCTGGGGCAAATGAGTTTATTAGTTCTGCAGCATCCTTCGCAAACACAAATACAGCAGATCCTCATTGGTACGGCCTTGACTGAAAGCACGGCTTGTAACTATAATAATTTTTAATTATGGGCGCGCGTTCTTACTTTTTAGTTCGCTTAGGCAGAGAACAGAGGGCTTAATTTGATCGATATACTGAAGGATTTCAGAGCGTTTTCTTCGGAAAGAGTTGCAATTTAAGTGAAGGATGTTGAAGAAGAGAGAGGCACTCATGGGTTACGCATCGGGTGGCAGAAGGTGGGCGGAAGAAAATCTATGGGAAGGAGGGGGAACGTAAATCCCCACTCCCGGAGTGTGGCTTAGATAACTCTTAGCTGCTCGAATATGACCTGAAGCATCAGGTCATGTTTCTCTTCGAGCGAGGGCCTAGCAGAGATTGACCGAGCTTTGGGGCGTGAGTGCCGGCGCGGGCAGAGACGCTAACGAAGTTAGTAGGAAGAGGTGCGGGCGTGGCGGTCGTAGAGGGCTAGCGGGGGGCACGCCGCTGGCTTCGATAAAGTTGCCGCGGGCGCATAGGGCAATGACGTGAGGGTGGCCTGGGAGGGCAAGCTAGGGCAAGCTAGGGCTCTAGGTTGGGCGGGCGGGAAAGGGAGCGGGAACACGTCAAGGGGGGAAGGAAGCTGCTGCATGCGGAAGGGGTTCCTGAGCTATTTTACGTGCTAAGAGCGAGTTTGCGAAAACGCGTATCCATGGCGGCAGTTTTTCCTGCCGTTTGGGGCAGGTGGCGGAGTTGACTGCATGATTACCTTGGCATTGGCTGCACATTGCGGCAGACCGTTCGTCTTTGCCTGGCAGTCACGTTGTGCATACCCTTTGCCTGTGCAGTAGGAGCAGGTGTCTGTTCCGGTTTACATTCACCTATTCGGTGTCCGTACTGGAGGCATTTGAAGCATTGATTGATATGTAGTTGGAGGACGAACTCTTCAACCCGTAGTTGCAGACAGTCGATTTTCATGGATTTTCCTTTATGAAGTTTCGTGTATTGGAGGAGTCTTGACCAGGAGAAACGGGAGAGGCGCGCTTGTTTTGGTTTTTCGCATTCTTGTGATTCCGTTCTCTATGAACGAAATTCCATATTCAAGGGCGAGAACGTCTCTAATGACGCTCGTGTCTTCTTGGAGGTCCACGCCTATAATGACGAATTTCCAAGTGGGGGTCCTAGCTATTTGCTGGCGGCGCGAGCAAAGTCCGAAGTTTTTGTAAAGCTGAGGACAAAGCCTGCGGAGCGGATTTGTTTGATGTCGAGCAACTGAACCTTAGAAAAGGCGCTCATAAAGGGGCGAACCAATGCTATCCTCTGTTGGTATTTCGGGGGGAGAGAATTCACAAAAAGGGGGTTTTGAAAAAGAGAGCTAGTGGCTGTCGAGTTGGGGCAACAGGTGAATTTCTCTCTTGCAGGGAGGAGTTTGCAGGCGTGGACGGCGGGGTGTGCGAGGGGGAAGGTGACAGGCAGGGAGCTTCGTTCGGATTTGGAGCGTTTTTGAGGGAGCGGATGGATTCGTAGTTAGCCAACGAATCCATGTAGGATGCAGGTTTGGAGTTGGCATGGGAAGAAGGAGAGGGTTGACGTTTCGTTCGAGGATATGTACGGGGGTTGGGGGTATGGACCGATTCTTACGAGTCTTCCTCTTACCAGGTATTCTGTACCTGGAGAGTGGGGGGAAAGATTTAGGGAGAGTCTGGTGAACAGAGAGCAGAGGCTAGAAAAAGGAGTGAGGAGAGAAAATGAGTCAACAATAAGAGTCCTGTCAGTTTCAGTCCTGTCTTTACAAAAACAGGACTGAAATGGAGAAGATTGTCTTAGCATAGACAATTTCGTGCTACTGAAACAATTGGCCCCGACAGCAAGGATGAAGATGTCAGTTGATGTGTGAGAGAAGACACCAGCCCCCTTTCTTCTAATGCTTGGGTACATGCAGGGTTTCTTATAGTAAGCATTAGCCTGACTAATTCCTGAACTCCATGAATCTATCTCAAATATGGATATAATTAATGAAGAAATGACAGTTTCGATTAGTTGCTTTTATGAGACATGACGAAATATGTGAGGAACGATGTACTGCTGTGAAGGACGAATCTGGAGAAGGGTGGAAGCGTACTGTTGGGTTATGTCTGGAAAGCGAGAACCATGCTGCTATCTAGTGGTCTAGACGAGAACTTCATTTCTTGGATTATTTCAAGCGCAACTGAGGTACATTGGATCATCCCAACCGTTCGATTTGAAATTAATGATGGCAGGGCAATATTAGAGAGATATTGCTTCACAAAAATTGTCAATATTGGCGAAGCAATTTTGCGTGCAGCCGATATTTTTCGAATTTAATTGCAATCCAACCTGGAACCTTAATTGGGTCGGTGTCCTTCACCAACGTTACGCCAATAATGGGAAACCAGCCTAGAGCCACAAATGGACCAAGCATGCCTGCCAGTGCCGACGATCTGCCGACGTTGCCATGAAGGGACCATTGTTGGGCCAAGATTTTTGGTTATGTGGGGGGATTCTATGCTGCCACAATGTTGAAATGAAACACTGTTCAACGTTGATGGGATCATGTGTCCTGTGGTGCCAGCGTTGCATTGTCGAAGTTTGGGCATCACCTCCCCTTTTATGAGCCTTTACGTGCGCTATTATTGATTAGAGCCCGAAATTACTCTAATAAGTGTTTTTTATTTCACTGAAGGGTCATTCTGAGGTGGCACCTCCCTTTACTGGATCGAAACTCAAGTTTAGTACTTGCACAACTCAATTCATTCCGTCCAGCAAGGGAGTTACATGTCACCTGTTATATCGCCCGTACAGTACAGAAGTCAGACACACCGTCGCAGGCTGGTAACGTGCTGCCATTCTCGAAAGACATACAAAAGAGATATCAAAGCCCAAGTCATTTGCTGCGCTACGAAGTGAGGTGGACCAATTTGGTATGTTTTCTAGGACCCTCTGGCAAGAGGTACCTGGAGTCTCCTTCTGCCAGATTACCTCCTTCAAAGGGTCTGTCGAGGAATTCCAAAACCTTCTCTCAAGTTGTACGTGGGGACAGATTGGATACTACAGTATATGAAAAGTAGAGACATTTTTTTGGCATCAGTGTTAGAATCTCTCAATTTCGGTTAGGCGCCATCTCGCATTGATTATTAGAACCTATTTTCCGTCGAGATGATTTGGATGATTCCATTACGAAGCAACATTGAGTTCATGACGAAGGCTATTGCGAAAAAGTAATTTGTGCCAAATACCTTCTAAACGACATGCCAATGCAGGAGTAGTCTCAATGTGTTGAGGTTCGGTTCATTACGAGCAGGTGGCATTTAATTGATTTCTTCTTATTCGCTAAATTATCAACTTCAACCATGTCTCATTATTTTAACCTTTTGTCAGTGTTGACCCTAGGCCTACAATGGATCATTGAAATGGTATGACTCTCACGCGTGATTTGCTTTCTCCTACGATCATCGTTGCGAGGGTATTTTCTAGCTGTTTCTGTTAGCATTTTTTGGCATGAGAAAGGAATATTTTTCCTTAGGAAAAACAGATGAACATTTAGGTTAAAAAATTCGTCCATGAATGCCCAGAGGAAGAGAACTACGTCACACTCGGGCAGACATGAACCTGCACAACATACACACAATATCAAAACCGCGATATCCGGCGGTTGAAAAATATGTCACTGAAATGAGTTTTCGGTCGTCCTACTTCTTATTAGGGGGTCCTTTTACACGTAAACATCAAGGAACGTTGTGACCTCCACTAGCTAAATATGCCGTACGAGGTCTATAACCCTGTGTTTTCTAGTTCATGACAATATAGAATGGCATGGGTCGATGCGTACCAGTGCCTGTGAAAGCGAATAGGTTAATATGAAGAGCTCATATATAGTGCCCAACCTCCCCTGGGAGTGGACTTTTTTTTTCCCAACCCATTCAAGATTCAATATAGTGATATTAAGAGGCGATTTCACCCATTTCGATATCACGTGTCGAGGTCGAGCGTTCTTTAACTTTAGGGTAGCCCTAACCTTCTTAAAGTTAAATATTTTTGTACTTTTTTTTACTCTCCTAGATGCTTACTGTCTAGTACCTAATCTAGTACCATTGTTTTTTTCCCTGAGAAAAGACTGCAGATCCCTTGTTCACTTCGTCAAGTTCTTTTTATTGATATTTATGTTCATTTCATGTTACATTCTATTTTATTTTGTTCACAATAGTAAGACATTTTACCGAGTGGAATGAATCACAAACTAAAAAAAGAGCAATATATAGGAGGCTTCAGCGTCACAAGACGATAGAAGAATTGGGTAAAATGAACATATATTAGTCGAGGGTTTCAATGTTCATCAATCTCGTCATGGCCGGGATGGAGAATATAAAGAATTCATTGGTGTTCTGCTGAATTTCACGAATGGAGAGCCATTTCCGGAGGTGACTCTAAGGGAATTGCCGTAAGGGTAAAAATATTTTTTGGCAGCGGCTTGAGAAGCAAATCCTTTGACTACGTAATCTCATCGTTCGCGCAACATTCTGAGTCCCAACTTTACAAGGTAGGCCGAATAATTTGAATAAGATATACAATATATTACTTTAAATGATATACCTTTGGCTCTTCCAATTGCTTTCGTATCGGAGGTAGTGAAAGGGGAGTGTCACACTGAGGCAGCGTATTCCTTAATGGACCTAATGAATGTTGTCCAAATGTTGACTCTCTTGCGGGGGGGCTTGAAAGGATCTCATGTTATGTACAACAGTACGAATATCTAATTTGAAGATTTCCTAAAGGGAGTAAGAATGTGGCCAGAGGTAGGGATCACCTCAACACCAATCATGAAGGTGTAGGAATCTCAACCCAGAGTGTCCACCCATTGGAACGGAAGGACAAGTTGAAGGAATCGAACGAGGAAGAGGTCCAGCAAAGAAGTTCCATCCACGCATTCAAAGTATGGCACTCTCTGCAGGATCTGCTTGACGTCGGGACAAAGAACTAGCCAGCCCATGCTCATGTCGCACTTCAGAGGGTTCTCTGAAAGAGTCAAGTTTGGAAATACAAAAAAAGGTAAGGGCGTTACACTGCACCAACCTTTTAACTCACCATTTACGAAGATTCCGCCATGGCCCAATGAGGCGACCTCCACCATGGGTCGGAAAGAGTCTTCTGTCAATGATGTCATATTGTTCCGCAGAAGAAATAACTTCGTATCAACTCGGAGACCTGTGGGTAGAAGCCCATTTCGTATCCAATGTGTCTCTTGTCAAAGTAATTCCCGAAAACGACTAGCCGACAGGAGGAAGGAAAAAGCACTCTAGTAACGCCACATTGTTGATTCCACAAAAAGTGGGGAAAGAAGAGAATCGTTTTTACGCGAGCACCAAATCCCCTCGATTGGTTTTCTACTCTAAAGCTCAGCTATTTCTCTCTGTCCTTCATGGTTTATGTCAAATCAAATTCAATTTGTGTCTCGAGAAGGGTGGGACTAGTTCTCTGAGTACTAGCCAATATACAGTATGTCAATATAAAGGACAATATCTTGGATGGACACCACCTTCGCTTGTCTGGCTGTGCTCTGACTCTTATTCTACGCTACTTTTGGATGCCCAATGAATGCCTTCGAAACCATGATCTTGAAGTGGAAATAGGAACATACACAATTACAGAGCATAGACATTTTTAAAACTGAGAAATGACACTGAGAGTGACCGATTCGAGACAATTGCTGTATTCTCAGTTGAACAAAAGCAACGTTCCCAACCTGTGATGGCTCCTGGTTCCACTCTCACGATTTTATTGTCTTCAAGGGAAACCAATTGCAAGGATCGGCTGTGGAACGCCAAGGATCCGCTGGACAAAATCGGCCCCAAATTGCAGTGCGACGCAGAAAACGACAACAAGTTGTCCATGCCATTGACCAATTGAGGAGGTAATGTCGAGAGGGGATTGCCACCTGTAATTGAAAATTAAAAACTTTTTAACTTTTTAATTTAATTTAAATTTGAAAAGTTAAGGATTTCACTGCGTCTTTTATTCAAAGTTTCCTTCAAAATTCAGTGAAGTCTTGGGCCAGCTGCACATAAAAACGCAGAGAACCTACGATACGCACCGGACTGAAAAGGATTTATTGTACTTGTGAGGCAGAGTTCATGATTGAGGAGGTACACCTCGATGTGTAATGTTATGGGTTTTGTGGGTTTTGTAGCTGATCTCTCAAAAATGGGGAAAGTTCATTTTGTAGGGTACATAATCTTAACATAAGGAAATAGGGACTTAGTAGAGAAGTAGGTGAAATTACGCACTAAATATTTAAGGAATGAAATTGATGCATTTTGGCGTGAACAAATCCGTCCTCCATTTAATGCGTATTAAACGCAACAATATATAGATATATCAATACTTTTAAAACGCATTATATGGAGGAAAATTATTTTCATTCCCATAAGGCTTTTATTCATTATGTGTGCGCGACGTATATGCATGTGACGTATTTCGACCTCGTTTTCCGTGACATGGCCACACTCCACAGCCCCTAGAGGGAGGAATTCAATAGAAAGGAAATAAATTTCCCTTATCAGAACAGATCTGCAGGTCATCAACAGAAAGCGCAGATGTTTCGATCCTTCCACTTCCCTTGACTATGTCATCTCCGAAATCCCCCAGTTATGGCAGTTCGGTGGGGAAATTATGCGTGCACTGCAAACTGCTTTAAGAAAATGACTCAATTTTTTTACTCACTCCCAGGGGACGAAAATTTTCATTTTCTTCTGTTCAAACTGTTCAAAGACTGCGGAGAAGACTTAAAATTTTTCGTTAAAACGCTCAAATAGAAATATACATGGGTGGATATCTTAATAAATAGGTGATTTAAATTAAGAGAAGCTGTGAATTGATTCAAGGCTATGAATACTCTAACGTCAGATGAACCTATTTTTGGAATCTCCAAGATGTATGAGTTTTGAAGTTAAGTCAATCGGCGATACGTATTGCGCCACTAAAATCCCAAATGAACGAAAACGAAATAAAAACCTTAACAGAAAATGGACTCGAATAATGGTGAAAGCAATAATGTTATAATCTCTTCGAGATGTAGGACCAAAGTAACGCAGTATGTTGTTGATACGTTTCCGAAATGTTGCCTATGTTGCTATATGGTGCAAGTTTACTGGTAAACATTGCTCCAACGTTTTCACATGTAATGTTGCTGCGACACATCTGCGAATCTTATTGCAGCAGCTGCTATCAACAGTGAGATAATGTTGACACTCTTGACATTGACAACGTAGCGACAACATTCTAATACAACATAGACTTTTAAGTTTTAGGGATTTGTAAAGCTGTCCTCCTTGCCACGAGATGGAGACGTAGGTCTCGCTTTTCGAACAGTACACAAAAGTTCCCTTCTCACTTTGCCTTTAATAGTCGCGCAAAGGAACGGTTATTACCTTGTCATATGCCCCGCATTGTCTCATTATAGGAATTAATGAACACATCATCACTTGTTATCTTCTTATTCGATACAGATGCATGGGGTCCAGATCAAAAACAAGCTCACATTCCTAAAAAGATCCCAATCCAAGAACGCGTCGCTTACATCTGACAGGAGATTAAAAATAAAGGTAGAGTCAGAGATCTCAATCGTTCATTTCCTTATCCTGAGAGTTGGACAAGGAAATGAAGGACTGGATTCGCGGACACTCTATGGAACATTGCGGGAGGATCTTTCCTTAAAATTTGCCATATTTAACTCATTCAGGGGAAGATTACCTCCAGAAATGTACTATGGCTCATGCCTATACATGATACAGATACTGTATTGTGCATGGACAGGAGTTATACCAGTACAGACTTCGTCCTGTTGATGGGAATGTCTGGGTAAAGAGATAAAGTGCGTGGGTAATCCCAAAAGTTCGAGAACATTTTGTTCTACATCAAGTTGAAACACCAAATGCAGCATTATTCCAAGTGAACTTTCTCAATATACTTCCCGCGCAGCTGCACACACTTCTGCTACAGTTCTATCAGTTTCTCGAGTCTTTCAGCAAACCAGTTTGCTGAAGTCACTTGAACCCACTGGTTCACTGCGGGAGCATGCTCCAAGCGTGCGCCAAGGTCAGGTCGCCCTTGGCGAATCATTCACTGGAATCCATTCTGCTTCAAAGCGATGTATCCACTTATTTATGGTACTTTTCCTGAAAGGTCTGTCCCTCTAAACTTCTTGCAGCTCACGACCTGAGACTTTTTCTGTTTCCACAGAAGCCAAGTCCCACCTCGCTGGACCCGATCATCTTCTTACATAGTGGAAAAATGTAGGTCTACTTAAAAATGCGATATCTTCGCAACAGGAAGGAGCAGTTACATGAGCACCATGTTAGCACCATGATACATCAATATGAACAAAATTATAAGACCGTTGCTACCGGATCACATGCAAAGAAAATATTCACATTTGTTCTCGAACTTTTGGGATGACCCACGTATATGATACAAACGATGGGGAAAATAATTATATATTTGCAGAATATCGGCCCAGATTAGGTGCCGGTGAAACAACGCTTTCCATCAACATTGCAGCAACATGAGTCCTGAAACGTTTCTGCAATGTATATGCAATATATAAGTAACGACTTGATACGTCAATGAAATGTTCTTTCGCAACATTCGAGCTACGTTGACGTTTAGGACACAGAAGCAATATTGTTCATCAACATTTTCCAAACGTTGTTGGAATAATACTAGTACTGGCCGGAGAGAAGGTGATGGAGCGAAAAGGCCATGCACTCGCACGCGCTTGGGTGCGAGTTTCTCAACAGCCAGTGCATTGCTGGGTTTATGGGTAGACCCTCCTTGGAAGGAAGAAGTGGAAGTAGGTTGACATGCGTTTGGACGGTGCAAGGCCAATCTAAGCGCCCTCTCTATAGACGCATTTCGGTTTTTCAGAAGACTTGCAGGCAACCCGGTGCGGTCAAAAAGAGAATAATATGCATCGGAATTCCGGTTGATGTCTTTCCTTCTTGAAAAAAATTAATTGAAATGCCACAATTTAGCAAAATATGTCATTTCGGTTCAACAATTTCTCTGAGTGCATAATTTTAGAATTTCAAACAGCTCTCCCGAAGACTGGTTCTCGAAATTATGAGTTCGATGGTACTTACTGATGTCAAGTGTTTCCAAGTTGGGCAAGGACCAAAGGGGTTGCAGTGTCGTTATTTCATTGTTCGTGAGAATTAACTTCTTCAGGCTTGAACTTTTGAGTGTTGGCACGGACTTCAAGGCATTCGATGAAAGTTGAAGCTCTTCCAGCTGGGACATATTAGGAAGTACATAAAAAGGAAATTCTTCCAGGTGGGTGTTGATGATTGCGACCTGTTCGAGTTGATCCCGCAAATAAATCAGTTTCATGGCATCCATAGTGATAAGGACTGTGTCCCGAATGTATATTTTCTTGGCGTTAGCCGTGGACATCTTTTTTTGGTCCTGGTCCGTTGCCAAGTGTCCTTCCGTGGTGGAGTGTGTTTGTCCATCTTCGTCCGCGTGGGAAACAGCATGGGATTGAGATCTGAGAAAAGAGAAAACATTTTTTTTACCGTAATGGTATATTACCTCACCACAGGCCTTGACATTGAAACTTGGCAATAGAACTGGTTTACGACGAGGTCACTCTAAATGTATTGAAGGATAATCAGCCCGTAGTAGGAAAACTATGCCCCCTCAGCATATTGAAACTTCGGTGTCAATAATGTTTATTCTACAGGAAGCGTAACGCGATATGAAACGCGTTCCTAATGGGGTACACTACTGATGCGGCCTTATTTATTTGATATATCCCCTACAATTGGAGCTATTGATAAGCATTCACAAGACAGATAGCAGCAAATATATAATCATATATCATTTATCTTAAATACATGTGAATAAAAATATTATCCAACTGATATTTGTTCCGCTTCCAGGTTTAGTGAGAAAAACGAAGGAATTGAATCAATGAACTAAATTACAGACAAACAGGAATACCGAGAATTCTCACTTGAGTGTAGCCATGGTCTCCAAGGATTCATTGAGTTTAGAGATCTTCATGTCATTCTTCGATTGCGAGCAATCCACGACCAGTTGATTGGGTTCTTCAAATAAGCATGAGCAGTTTGAACCGGCATCATCTTCATAGCAAGGCCAAGACTTACTATAAGGAAGCAAGAGATCGGATTGGAAACTCCAGCGCATGTTTACTCATGGTCTTAATATCGAATCCATGGAAATGAGGACTGAAGCAAATCAGGAGGATCGCAGGCACATTAAATAAATTTGAATACTATGTTTGTTCTTAGTTATAAGATAGCCACAAGCAGACTCTCGGCAAGCTTAATCAAGTGGTAATTTTTTACCTCACTTCTGGATAACAAAATCTAACATAAAACAGAGGCGATCCTTTATCTCAAGATTCACAATAATTTCTCGATTTTCATTTTTCATAACGTTTTATGTGAGAAAATTTTACAAATAAATCTGGCACAGGAACATGGGGAAGCGGGAGTAATGATATGCTGCATATATCATCATGACCGATCACATAAAGCGTGGAATAATGAAATATGAAACATTTGGCATTTTTTCTTGAGCAAACTTTGCCTGCCTCATATCCCTGAATACAGCTACCTAGCTAATGAACGTAAGTGTCTGTGTCCGAAGCCGCTTCTCCTACCAGACGGTTTGATCTCTGACACTGAAACGTTAAACATAGGCTTCCTAGGGGTGGGGTATCAGGACGGCGGAGTTTGCTGGCCCTGCCTCCGATGGGCGCTGGAACGCCTTACAGTGTTTTTCACTTGAGTTCGACATTTTTTCACTTGACTTCGACAACGGTGCATGGTGAGGGTGATATAGCGGATGGACGCAGAAACTAGGAGTTCCATACTTAAGTGCAGAAGTCGTGATGACATTGGCGACAACGATGATGATTAATTTCCTGCTGAAGAGAGGAAAATCAATATGAACCTTCCCTAATACACAATATATTGAAATGATAATTTAATGTCGTATTGAAAAACTAGGCTTTCGTGTCACCCATTACTGTTTTCCTTAATATTAAAAAAAAGATTAAGTTTTGAGCATCGTTCCTGGGTTCTGATGTATCATTCTCCACGCCGAACTCACGTAGGCTGGATTAGGTCTATCTAACGTGGATCTGGGATTGTCCATCGAAGTCCGATCCAGTGTTTCTACATCGTTGAGCCGATGGAAAATTGAAAACCTAGAACCTTTTTATCTAAATAGACTGCAATGAAGGTCTCCCGTTGACAACATGGCTATGCATGCGGTTCATCGTTTCGAGTACATAGTTTGACTCATATGAAAAAGCTTAAATATTGGAAGGAAAGAAAGATGTCGCTAGTCACCAGGGTGTCGAAAGATGTCGCTAGTCACCTGCGTCCTCGCCTCCTCTCTGAATACCCCTCGCATCGGTGTCTTAGTCAAGTGAAAAATTGTCTAACTGAAGTGAAAAACATTGTAGGTCACCAGGGTCATTTTTCGCCAAAATAACCTCATTCATTGTGTGTAGGAGTTACTAAATCCCCGGGGTTTCCCGGTTAAGTTCATTTTTCCATTTGACCTTTCCCTTTGAGATATTAGAGGTCAAAGGCCAACATTTCGAAGTCATTTTCCCGGCCAAGCCTTGCACTCCGAGTTAGACCCGGAGGATTCGGGCTTCGCCAAGTATTTTAAAAGAAAACTTCCAGTACCTAATTTTTGGGGGGCCTTACGTACGACTGAATGCTAGGACGAACTCTTCTTCAGTCCTTCAGAAGCTTCCAGAACTTAATGCTAATTACATTGCGATTTTTAATGTCATATCCCATACTTTGCGTCCCCTATCATTGGCGCGATATGATTCATTTTCTAATACTCGTACGTAGGTAGTAGACGTTTAAAATGCCTAAATGCAAATACATTTTTTATCTGATGAAAGAAGAGTATCTGATTTATTAAGTATTTGACTTGTTGATTTGATTGGTCAAGTTCAACAAGTAAATTCGGCTTGTAGGCGTCTCCATCTGCTGTAGAATGAATGATGGTTCTGTACACGTCAATGTTCCGCAGTCGCACGAACTCCGTGGAAATACAGTAATGCATTTCATAGAATTACTGCTAGCTCTATAATTACTACGAATTCTAGAGCATCTTCAATGCAGTTTCTGAAACCCATAGCCTTCCCAGTCTGTTAAGAAGTAGAAAGACAGGCTAATGGCAGATACCACACTGCTGGGAAAAATCAAGGGTGAAATGAATGTCGTAGAATATTCCAGACGATTCGTGCATGATTGCGGTATATTTTGGAATTCCCCATTCAATAGATGAATTTGACCTGCATTAGAGTCGCTATAAAACCCAAAAATAAAATAGTAAACATTGACGCTGCCATCCCAGGCAAGTTCCACAGCTTCGGCAGTTCCTTCCACATGGAAGGTTGTAGAAAATGGGGATCTTGTTAGTCACAGTATTAGATAGGGTGTCCGCATCTCCGGGAACCCATGCTGAGCGTAGCTACCCATTTGAAATTAATTCCATCAGAATTCGAAATTGACTTCTTGAGAGAAGATTTCGAATATATGATTAAAGTTTATTTTCCCTAAGGAATTCAGTTCGAACAGGCTGAGATTAGGCTTCAACTCACTGTCTTGCTCGTATTCTCGAAATGACTGTGTGTATATGGATCTCCTAATGAAAGTTATAAAAAAAAGAAATCAGAAATGGATCGGAGGAAACTTCAAGAAGGGAATGAGAGTCTTGATACACGCCTCTAATTCAACCGAAATTTTTGGAATTGTATTTGACCAAATCTTATTTCTGCAAGTTCTGTAATATGCAATGTATGTTCCATTCTAAATTCTCTGTCGCAGAGCAAGAAACGTAGTATTCATGCGATCCGTATGATAGTCGATTGTCCCAAATCATTCGAAAAGCATTTTTACTCGGGATTTACAGTATTTCTTGCGAGACCCTTCTCTCTCCCTTTCAATAATAAAAAAAAACGTAAAAATAGGTAGGAAGTGGTAGGAATCGTGAAAAACATTTAAACAAGGCAGTGAATAAATAAAAATTTTCAACTTCACTAACAAACCAGCTCAACTTCAGCTAACAGAAACATGGACTTACAAAAAAAAACACGAAGTCTTAAGAAAAAAAAATCGTAAGTTTTTCTTTTAAATTTTCACTCAATTGCAATTAACATTAAAAAGTTGAACGAGAGACTGGAATGTTAAAGATGCTTGAAAGTCAAGTTTTCTAAATCCCAACAAGATGAGGCATTCGTGATGAGTACCAACGTACGTACAGTTTACAGAAGACCATAAATAGGTCAAATTTTTTATCCGTTCCATCAGCGGTAACAGCAGCTCGCGGTGTATTATTTTAGAAGACTAGAAAAACCTACCTGCAATCCACACGTTGGAGTCCTTCCTGAGCATGCAAAGAGTGGGGACTGTGAGCAAGCCGTAGATCGCACTGGATGGGATCTCCTGCAACATTTACAGAAAAATAGCCCAAGAACGCAAATGAATGTTGTCGGACGAGTGGAAAACATTTGCATGAAAAGAGGACAACTGTAGAACTGACTTAAGGAGATGATGATCCCAGATTTCTGCTGAGAAAGAAATTGAAGCATGGGCCGGAAGGAGTCTTCAGTCAATCCCGTGATGTTGTTGCCACTAAGGTCGACCAATGTATGTCTTGCGACGCCTGAAAGTGGAGAAAAATTACATTCGGAATCCTCAGGAGCTCTCTTGGCTTTCGAGTTCGTCCGAGTAGGTTGGAAGAGATCGTATTATATTGTACTCGCTATGGTCGTGACTTCGGCGCTCCATTACCTTGGATAGTGATTAATTAAATCATTTTTTTTGCGAAATGGGAAACACGTATTTAGAGTACGTCCTCATTGAAATACGTCACTCTGGCGACAAAAGTCTTGATTTTTATCAAAATCATTACTTCTATTATATCTAGTGTGCCGAACTTCTTGTGTCCCTTTTTGTAAGGGTAGAGAATACATTTGTAATTGCTTCCCTCCTATAATCTATGCTAAGGAGACATATTTCAAAAGTAGAATTTTTTCTGTACTCATCCATCAAACAGGTACTTCTGAGGGAAGTATAAATTTCCTGCCTCTGTTTCGTTGGATCAAAAAGAAATATTCAGGAAAATGGGACAGAAAATAAGGGCCCTGGGGGTTTTAAGGGAAATTTTTTTAAATGTAGACTCAGGGAACTCCATGCCACCCAGTTTCAGCCGTATACGTTTCCCCTTTTTCCTGGTGGAAAAAAAATGTAACTGGAAAAGCGAACCATCCAAAAGCTGTGGAATGAGGAGACGGACAACAAAAGTTAAATTTTTCCTGAAATCAACATCACGTCCGTTATGAGTTACTTTTCTAGTTCTGCCCGATTCGGTAGGATATGAAAAATTATCTGAAAACGTTACGTCCCCATGAACCCCGAACATATGTTTGAAATTTAACGTTTGACATTTGAGCTCAGTGCGTCGACGGTCACGATCTTGCCAAGTTTCAGCTTTCCATGTTTCTCCGTTTGAAGCAAAAGGAACTAATTGAAAATATGTTCCCTGAAAGGTGTGCCCCTATGGCATGCATCACCAAAGTAGAACTTTTCCTGAACTCAACATGCAAATAGCTACAACATACAAAAGAATATTTACGGTTAAACAACTGTAATTTATTCCATCCTCAATGCATCATTCCATCTCGTAGGCCAGAATTGTCTGAATTCTCACTAAACTGGGCTGTCTCTTCGGACAAGTGCTTTTAGGAAATCAAATACCTATGATTATGTTCAATGTAGGAATAAAAATGCAAACAACTTGATGAGTACAGGAGAGATGTTCCAGTAAGATCAGGGCATTCATCCCATCAGAGCGGCTATACAGTCGCCATCTCGCGTCGGTTGTGCACTGCAGAAGAAACCTCATGAAGGATCTCATGAGGTTTTCGAACAAGCGGTCTCATGAGGCCTCATGAGGCCTCGATCCTCATGACGTTTTCGAACAAGAGATCTCATGAGGTCTCATGAGGCCTCGATCCTCATGAGGACGTTTCGAAACCCCATGAGGAACCGCACAATTCTCATAAGAAGGTCGTGAGACCTCCTTAAGTACCCCATGAGGATTACATCATGAGGATTTCCTCATGAGATATTCGGACAACCTCATGAAAAAGTCATGAGATATTCGGACAACCTCATGAGAAAGTCATGAGGTCTCATGAGACCTCATGAGTTTGAAGTGAGGTTTTTTCAGCAGGGCATGACTTCCAAATTCGACTTTAACAAGACCACCCAACGTCAGTGCCATCTTTACTGCCACTTCCTATCTGGAATCACAGCAGCTGAATCGAGTCGCCACATCTGCACCGGGTTTGGCCAAGGTGCGGTCTATGAATGACAGCGCGACGATGGTTCGATCTTTTCCGGTCTGGAAATTACAGCCTCGAGGATGAGCCCAGGTCAGGCCGCCCATCTGAAACAGACGACGAGCAGTTGCAGCACGCAGTGGAAGCCGATCCGAGGCAAAGTACCCGCGACTTAGCGACGGCACTTGGCTGCGCCCAATCCACGATCGTGACGCACCTGACTGCAATCGGCAAGAAGAGCAAGTTGGATCAGTGGGTACCCCACGATCTGACCGACCGCGACCACGAACGCCGTGCGAGGTGTGCACTTCGCTGCTGTCGTAAGAGCGCACAAACGACTGGCTGGATTCCTAAGTCACTGGAGACGAAAAGTGGATGCCATACGTCAACTACCGACGCAGGCGCCAGTGGGTCGATGCCGATGTCCAGCCAGAGCCACAGCCAGGGCCGAAAGGTGATCTGCACCCCGAAAAGTCATGTTGTGCATTCGGTGGGACGTGCAAGGCGCGATCTACTTCGAGCTGCTCCCACCAGATACCAGCATCACCGCCGCCTACTACTGCGATCGACTGCAGAAGCTCGCCGACAAACTCCGCACGGTTAGGCCAGGGCACCGTCATGTTCGATTCCTGCACGACAACGAATGGCCGCATGTCGCGAAGATCACATGACAGAAACTGCTGGATCTGGGCTCGGAGGTTTTGCCTCACCTGTTGCGCAAGATCTTTTTGCGTCCTATTGCAAAAACGGTAAAAACGGCATTTTCGCAGGCAAAAACGGCGCTTTCGTCGTGGCCAAAATGGTCGCGGACAGTTTTACTGCAAACATAAATTCTTATAAGTCTTTCGTCGAAATACAATTTCGTCGCAGACACTGATCGTCGCAGTTCCCTTGTCAAGACCCAGCTTAATAACCCGGCTGGAAATATTTATAATTTCTAACTGAACGCCAGCTGTAAATTTAGACTCATTCGAACCGGATAACAGCTGGAAAGTAAAAGTCAGATTCAGATTGGATCCGAGCTGCAATGTCAATGGCGGAATGTGACTGTTTTGTTGCCTATTCTTGCCTGAGAACCATCTGCGGAAGCAGCTGAATTTCAGATGTGAATTCTGCTCTATTCCAGCTGGTGGGTCTACTGCATGCAATTCCATTTCAACCAATTAAAACCATAAGGATGTCAGTTGGAATATTTCTACGGATCTACTATTTGCCAGCTTCTTCCGAGCTGGAAATGATTACAATTTGCTGCTTGGTCCAGCTGGGAAATTCTAGTTGCGATTTTATACTCGAGATGGATATCACTTGGTAACGTCTGAACCCAAGCAGGTACCAGCCAAAGATTTGAGCTCTAAGATATACCCGTTGTCATTCATAGTCATGAATCAACATTGTGAGTCGCTCTATTGTGCATACCAATACATGCTACCTTCAAGCCTTAGTAATTCACATAGGTATGCTACCTGCTAGTTCCTTTGTACCTCTACAGTTAAAAGTGCCCTTCTAGTGCACTTTCTATCCCTGTGGATGAACCTTACTCAGTCGGGGGGGAGGGGGGTTTGTGTGGCAGAATGTTTCAAGTGGTCTAGAAACCATGGTTCTGGTAAAAAAAAAAAAAAAAAAAAAAAAAGAATACCGGAGAATTTGAAATTTANAAGTGGAATCCTCCATGTCTCTTTGTCGAACGAATTTAACGAAGATATTCCTGTGCATCAGTGATTCCAAAATTTTTTGGCCCCGACTCAAAATTCAACATCCAAACCCTGGGTCGCGACCCAAACATGGGTGACGACCTTGGGTTTGGGAACCCCTGCTGTGCATGATCGTGCTTTCGCGCTAACCAGGAGACTTGGCCCATCATATTTCACATCGGTTCATTCCCCAAACTACAATCCACGTAAAGAAAGGGTCGAGTTCATCAGAAGCAGATCTTGGAAACAGTGTTCGGAAACCCACCTTAATGTCTCCTTTTAGTTCTTATAAAGGAGATGGAAGGAACAGGAAATCTAACCTGAAATGGCACCTGGTTCCAGTCTCACGATGCCATTATATCGAAGGGAAACCTCAGACAAGACCTCGGTGCGGAACATCAATGATCCGTTTGACAATGTTGGTCCTAGATGGCAATGAGATGCGTCAAAATACATCAAACCACTTGAGCGCTCGAACAATCCTGGAGGAATCTTCGAAATGGGATTGTTACCTGCAAGGGAACAGGAGAATTTCGCCCATTTATACCTTCGGAGTCGATAAAGCATTTCTGAACGCAAGTATTCATGAGTCTCTTGTCTTTTTGTAATGAGAGAAAGTAAGAGGGTGCAATAAATTTTCTATCGCTTCAAAATAATTAGTCCGTCTAATATTTTCAGAATAATAATAATTCAATGATACACTCTCAAAATGTATACCTTCTCTGATGCCTCATGGAAAATTCAAGGAATTGTCAATCTCTTCTGCATTTGACGTAAAACTGGGTCTTACAGGCTGACAGTATGATAGTGTAAATTGAGATATTTGCGTTATTCGAGCCAATCCCAGGTTCATGGTACTTATTGTTCGATAATACTTACTGATATTCAATTTCTTCAAGTTGGGCATGAGCCAATCTGGCACAAGTGTTTTTATGCGATTGTGCGAAAGTTGCACAATCTGCAGACTGGAGCTTCTGAGGGCTGGCACAGATTTCAAGGCGTTGTAGGAGAGTTCCAACTTCGATAGACTGGTCATTTCAGGAATGACTTGAAATGGGAATTCTTCCAGGGCGGAATTGTTGATGATGAGGGTTTCAAGGCTATTCTTCAATGAAAGCAATACCGTGGGATCCACGCTGACCAAGCTGGTTTCCGAAATGGTTATTTCGTTGAAGGTCACTTTCCCAAAAATTCCATCCATGAGGTGCTTCACTGCCCGATTTCCTTTCATATTGAATGTACTTCGTCCGCCGTAATAACTGTAAATAAAAAAGCAGATAGGAAAATGATATAAACATAAGTTTTTTTTCTCTCTCTAAATGGTTAGAGAATACTTAGAGGTAAGAATATTTGGAAATGTTCGATCAGAAAATGTTTTGGCTTCGCTGAATAAATATTCCTTCATGACAGCTCAATATGTGCGCTTCGTCAGTGT